AAAATGGATACAATAAAGCATAAAATGGACTTACTGGAGAAAGAAGAATTAGCCCCAAAAATTAGAAGCAGTAAACAGAACTATTTTGAAAATGTGAATAAACCAGGAAGATGGTTAGCATATAAATTGAAAAAAGAAAGAGAATCAAGAAAAATAACACAATTAATTGATGACCAAGGGCAAAGCAAATTTGGAAATAAAGAGATGGGAAAAATAATACAGGAATATTATAGACAACTTTATAAGAGAGAGAAGATAGAGGAGGAAAATGTGGCAAGATACTTACAAAAAGCAAACTTACCTTGGATTCCCAAAGATATTGAGGAAATGTTAGAGGGAAATATAATGATGATGGAGTTAACAAAAGCAATTAAGAAACAAAAGAATGGAAAGGCACCAAGGCCAGATGGCTTATCTGCAGAATACTATAGGATATTACAAGAATCCTTAAGTCTCTCATTACTGGAAGTCATGAATGAAGTGATGACGAAGAAGAAAGTACCCAATCATGGTCTGAGACATACATCACATTGATTCATAAAGAAGATACAGACCCACAACAAATCAAAAACTATAGGCCTATGTCCCTGCTAAATTTAGACTATAAAATTTTTGCTTCAATATTGGCAGAAAGACTTAAGAGATATTTAAATAACTTCATACACACAGATCAAAATGGATTTATTCCAAAAAGACAGATTAGAGACAATATTAGAATAATTCTGGATACTTTAGAATACTATGAAGCTCATCCTGAAAAGCAGATGGCTTTGATATTTTTAGACGCACAAAAAGCCTTTGATAATGTAAATTGGCGATTTATGACGCTTCAAATGGAATAGATGGGCTTTGGAAGAAAATTTATTCAGGCAATAGAAACTATATATCCCAAGCAAATGGCAAAACTAATGATAAATGGAGAATTGACTGATTCTGTTGAGATAGAAAAAGTACTAAACAAGGATGTTCACTGTCCCCACTGTTGTTTATATTGACATTAGAAGTTTTAAATAGAAATATTAGAGAAGAAAAAGACATAAAAGATATGTAAGTTCGAAAAGAAGAATACAAAATGCAAGCATTTGATGATGACCTGGTTTTTATTATTGAAGAACCACTAACATCAATAAAAAAACTGATAGAGAAAATTGGAGAGTTTGGGAACGTAGCTGGTTTCAAAATTAATAAAGATAAAACGAAGATTTTGACTAAAAATATGTTGATAAAGCAAAAAGAACTGATGGAGATATCAAAGATGCAGATCACAAATAAGGTAAAATATCTGGGAATATATTTGACAGCACGATGTAGTACACTTAAAATAATTACAATAAGCTTAAGCAACAGATAGGGACAGACTTGGCAAAATGGGGAAATTTGCAGCTTTCTCTGATTGGTAGGATATCAACTATTAAGATGAATATTATGCCTAAAATTCTGTATTTATTCCAGATAATTCCAATTAGATTGGGGAAATAATTTTTTGAAGATTTGAATAAAATGGTGTTGAAATATATTTGGCAGGGAAAGAAGACAAGGATAAAATTAAAGTTGTTACAAGATGCTAGAATGAGGGGAGGTTTTGGTTTACCTAATTGGGAACTTTACTATCAAGCAATAAGTCTGATATTAAAGAATGGATAACTTTGAGAAATATTAGATTATTGAATTTAGAAGGACATGATCTGTTGATGGGGTGGCATGCTTTCTTATGGTATAAAGGAACAAAAGTATAGGGGTATTTTAGAAGGCATCAGCTACAGGAAGCTTTATTATTGAATTGGGAGAAGATTAAAAAACATCATTATTTGAAGATTCCAGTCTACAAATTGAAGCATTTTCATTGAAAATGCAGCATTTTCATATTCAATAGTATTCAAAAGGGAACAAATTATTAGATATAGCAAATTAACGGATGAAAAGGGTGAACTTAAATTGAAGCAAGAAGAACAGGGCTTTATGATGGATTGGTTTTCATATTTGCAAATACGTTCTAGATATGAAGAAGATCTTAAACAAGAAGGTTTATACAATGTTTTGACTAACCTAGATAAGATTTTAATGGGTTCTGATGACTATGTAATTAAAAAATTATACGGATATTTGCTAGAGGTAAAATTGGAAGAAGAACAAGTTAAAGAATCAATGATAGCATGGGGAAAAATTTTGGTCATGGTATTGATTTAGAGAAATGGCAAAAATTGTGGTTGCAAAATTATAAAATGACAATGTCTACAGCATATAAGGAGAATTTGTGTAAGATGTTTTACAGGTGGCACCTACCCCCAATGAGGATAGCCAGAATGTTCAAGAATAAATTGGAGAAATGTTGGAAGTGTCATCAGACTCCAGGATTATACTACCATATGTGATGGACATGTGTAGAAGCTAAGAGATATTGGACTAAGATTCACACGTGGTTGGAAAAAATGATAAAGAAACACACTGACTTTAAACCAGAGATATTTTTATTGGGGATTTTGCCAGAAACATACAATAGAGAATTGCAATATTTAATTGTGAATGTTTTAACAGTGGCTAGAATTGTATTTGCTAAAAATTGGAATGGAGAGAAGTTACCTACTGATGATGAGGTTATCAAGAAAATTATGGAATGTGCTGAAATGAGTAAATTGACATTTGAAATTAGAGAACAGGAAGACAAACAATATTATTTGATATGGGATTTGTTTTATCAATGGATAGATAATAAAACATGGAGATGAAATATGAAATATGAGGTTGATGTAAAGATAAAATATGTGAAGTTCTTTTTTATGAGAAATAAGCTTTTGTTACAAATTGGTACTCTGAAGATGGGATTAAGCTCAAAAGAATGCTAACCGATTGACACATTGTCTGTAATTGTTTGGAATGATAATGGTTTTATGTTTTGTTTTTGTTTTAAAATAAAAAATTCTTTTCAAAAAAAAAAAAGTGTTCTATGAATGACCCTAAGCCCCTTCTGAAACCTAGTCAGCCTAGGAAGATTGATCAAATTATTCCTACCTCTCTGTGGTGGGATACAGCCCCAGAAAAATCAAAGACCAAGTGAGAGTAATCTGTCCATGGCAAGGGATTCATGGTAGTACTCTATAAGTCTAGTTTATATTGCAACTGTCCCAAGAAAAAGACAAGGTTCAATATGTGATACTTTTTGGTCCGTGTTTTTGGTAGCCACATGAGTAGCCTCCAAGCCTGCAGCTGAGATCAGCAGATTGAAGTCTGCCATATGATAAACCCATGGTACTCTATTGCCAAACCAGCTATGAATTCCAACAGGAACACAAGCACAATTCCCTCTGATCCCTACTGCCCAACTTCACAAGAAGGAATTCGCAACTGGATACTGCAGAACAGCGCACCTGAAAGCCATCAGACTTTTCAGATGACAATCGCTAACACCACCACCTTAACCCTGGGCTACCCTTGGTAGCCATCTAGGTTTTGGTAATTAATAAAAAAATTATTATAAACTAGTGTTACCCATTAAGTAGCAACAGTTAGAAACCAGGGCATTTGAGCCTTTATTACCAGATCTTGCGGTATAGCACAAGAATCTATCAAGTGGTACCAAATACCAAGACTCTCGTCCCTGGAAGGGCTATAAGGAGAATGGAGATGATGTTGGAGAAATCATCCAGAAGCCATTAAAAAGACAGTACATGCAGAAGTAAATGATGAACCCAGAAAGCCTAGGTGTCAACCCTTGAAATGGCGAGCCTCCAGTGGACTGCCCTGGGATTGCCATTTGGGGGAGGGGGGAGGGGGGAGGGGGGGAAAAGGCTTACAGGGATAATGAAAAACAGTAGACTCACAATGTAGGAGGCTGACAACGAAGAAGCAGCTGGCCGACAATCAGCTGGAGAGCAGGCCAGCATCAGAAGAAAGAACTAGGCCCAACAGAAAGATTCCAGGCCTTTCAGGCCTCTCGAGAAGTACAACAGCTATGTAGGTGGGGCAGATGCGTGCAGGGGGCGTGATTAAATAGGCGGGAAAGCAGCAACTGTTATTGCTGCCTTTGTTTTGGTTGCTATGTGCTGATTTTTCCAGGTCTGTCAGAATTAAAAGCAATTAATCGAACCTTTTATTTCTGTTTCTTGGTTTTGGAGAATCAGAACAGTGACACTAGGAATATTAGAGATTAATATGGCTCTCCTGATTCGCAGAGGATAAGATGGAGGGAAGTAAAAATACAGGTAGACTTGTAAGACGAATAAAGGAGAATATTGGTAGCTCAGGGTTAAAATGAGGAGTCCTTGGTGGTCTCTAAGCTTGCTTGTTGTTTATATTCTAGTGGCTTGCCCTGTCAGTGTTAGTGGGGGTGACCTTAGAAATTCTTTGGTTGAGCCAAACCAAAGAATCTGTAAGATCACCCACACCAATATTGACAGGGCAAGCCACTAGAATATAAACTGACAGAAAATTGCACTTCTTACTAGCACTGATGTTGTTACCTAGTTTGGGTAATGAAATGTCTGCAAGAGAACAAGCAAGTTCAGAGAGTACTAAGGTCCAAACTTGTAAGATTCTGTTATTATAACCTATCTCAATAAATATAGTTCTAGTTTTTCAGTGGAGTCAGTTTCCTAACCTGGTTTACTATATCTGACAGTGATCTAAACTGTTTTCTGCCAATATATTTCTGCCAATCTTCCCAATATATCTTCATTTGGCTGCAATCAGCACAACAATATCCTTGGTTTCTTATCAAGCATTGATAAATATAATTTTGATCACCATTGAGATATAATCCATTTCTGGCATAGAGTTAAGAAGGCACCATGAGATACCCCCCCCCCCCAATGGCAGGGGCGTGTGAGCATGTCACTATCCTTATTCGTATGCTGGTTACTGTAGAAATAAAATGTTAGATAAGAGATAACTTTGATCTGTAGCACAGGTTTTATTGTTCATGTCTATTCAATTTTAACATTACTTTATAATTATATGCTTGTTTTTTTACAATTAGACAATTTACAATTGAGCAGAATTCATACCTCACATCGGAAAGGCTTCTCTCCTGAATGCTGTAGTGAATGAACCTTTAACGACATACTGCGTTTGAAAGATTTTCCACAGGTTTCACATGTAAATGGCATGTCCTTAGTATGTGCTGAAACACCAGTCAATTAAGTAAGTCAGTTATAACTAGCTTAAGTCTTAGTGGTTTCAAGAGGTATATTCTAAGCATAAATAAGATTGGATCCATTTGAGTTTTTATTTTATTTAAAATATTTATGAGAGTGTCATTCAATTAGAATGGTTCTTGTGATCTGTAGTTAAATTATAATATAAACAAAAGAACTTCAAGTAGCAATTAACACTCAGGAAATAAAAATGCTATTTACTGTGCCTTATAATATAGAAATCAGCTTAGTACAGAGTAAAAACAAAGCATGCTAATTTGACTATAAATTATGGTAGGCATATACACAGAGAACTACATAATTAGACTTTGTGTAATCACAAGACTAAAGTGCCCTATTTCATTAACTCTCTTTCCCAACATCCCACCGAAGTTCAAAGGTAAGTTCTTAGCTATTTTACCAAGTCAAAATTATTTCAGCCAAGTAAGAATAATTTCTTAACAGTTCAGTTCACCCTTAGAAGTTCAACTTGTTATAGAAATGTTCTTCCTGTATCATTTAAATCTATGGATAAGTATTTTACAGTGAAGGTATCCCACATTTTACCAATGTTATATGCTTCAATTCTTCCAAATATAGGTTTTAGTTTCAAAGGCAAGAGGAAACATATAAATTCCCTAACTTCAGTGCTTGTATTCTGGAAGATTCACATCAAAGTACAGAAGTTACTAGTAATAAATGTGGATTAACTAAAACACCAAATCTCTGTATTGCAAATAAACTAAAGTGCCATTTCTCTCTCCAATTGCATCTAAAACAGATTCCCCACATTATAGCCCCAGATAGTCTTACATTGGGCAGACTGAGATGCCAAAGACTGGGCTTCTCCTCTTTTACTTGAAAGGCTTTCTATGGCTTTCTCTACCCTTTCCAGTAATGACTAATGGAGATGAATAAGGGCATAGTTACAGAGAGGTGTTTTTAAAAACAACTAATTTATTTGTAAACAAGGAGCTATCTAAATGCTACATGGACAGTTGACTGAACATCAGAATCATAAATCTGAAAGAAGCACTATGCTATGCAAAAACAGACAGCAAAAACTCACCAACCATGTGCTTTCGCACGTGAGCCATGGTGTAGAACTTCTTTTCACATATTTCACAGGAGAATTTTTTCTCTGCATATCCATGGACAATCTTGATATGCTCATGGAGGGACCAAAGCTTCTTGAATGACTTATTACAGGAAACACACTGAATGGGTGGACAGGACAAAGAAGAATAATTTAAACAAAGTTCACTTCAGATGGTATCAGGAAGCTGTAACCAAATGAAATGAACATACACAAGGAAAAGGTTGCAAATGTACGTACACTGTGACAAGTATTAAAATGCCACTCAGTTCATTCTGTCACTGAAACCAGATAACAAGGTTTAAGTGAGTACTGTATTAATGTGCTTACATCGCCACCTGCTGCTTCCTCAAGAGCAGATCAGCAGCAACATCCAGGCTTCTACCAGCTCTTCACACAGACACAAAATACATTGATGGAATGAGCAGAGATGTGGAAGAAGAATATTGTCTAAATTCAGTGAGCTAGCCTGGCAGCTTGAAAATGATGTTTGATATCAAAAATAGCTCATTTGTATTTAAGCATAATCTGGGAAATATATTGCTGTGAATTGCGGGATTACAATAAATTACTCAAAATGAAACAATTATTTTTCTTGAGAGAGAATGAAATAATACATTCCCCTCTAGCCAAAATCATGACAGATCATATTTAAACAAAGTAACATGATTTTGTATTAACGACTGATTTTAATTGGAAAGGATATTTTTTAATTAATTGTTATCGTGTAAAATAAGATAGTAAAGCAAAGCAAAATAAAAATATATGTAATTTGTATCATTATTCAGTGCTAGTCATTAATATATCTTACCATAACCCTAGCAGACCAGTTATACAAGAAAGTAATGCTCTCTCTGTCCCCAAATTTAAATTCTGTGCCAAGAAACCAGAACATTATCAGTTATTTAGACTGTGCGAAACATATAGGAGTAAATTAGCAAAATATAATTTTAAACAACACATTTAATGAGAAAAATATAAGATCCATGAAGATTTTTTAAGTTAGTCCAAAGCACTTTATAAATAATAAGCCTACTACAAAATGCAGATTAGAGTTAACTGACTTGAATCTTGTTCTTATTTTCCATTCAAATTGGAAGACAGAAGTAAGTGGATTCCAGTTCCTAGGGCATAACAGCATAAGAATTCTGGACCAGAGGATTGCTGAAGCTGATACAAGGAATAACAACGAAGTGGAACTGCTGAGTAACAGAGTGGACAGACCAGTAGCAGGAGGATCATCTGTTTCTTAGTCTTCTGTGTTCACACACATATATCAGAAATATCACATCCAGTTTACAGAAAAGACACAAAATCAGAACCTGGGATAACAGAATACTAAACCAAAATTCTTGATCCCAGCAATTACAATGAGCACACTGAAGGAAGCAAATTCAAACCAATCACATAGTTGAGGACCACTTATCCTTTAATTCAGACTGAGTATTTCATAACTAATAAGTGAAAAATAAATATTAGACCACAGGAGTGTTTGAAGGTTATTCTAGGTTTTATGTCATATTTGTTTAAAATATTATTTTTTTAAAAAATCAAAATCGATTAGAATAAAAGGTATAAATGCTACCAGGTTAAATATTGATATATTCAGGCAAAGAGTCTGTAGCTGAAACTAAACACCTTGCTGATCCATTTATTAAACATACACAGATGCTGATCATATGCACAAGGATTCTTCATTTGTATTTGTTCAAAGATTCTTGGATTTGCTCATTCTGCATCATTTCCAGGACCAAGAATCTTACAAGGAATAAACTATAGGATCATCTTGCTAACTACTTAACCTATTAACTAGAATTCAACCTCCAGTTCTATGGGGAAGTAACTAAAAATGTGCTTTTTTAAAAAAAGGAACTTTTCTTAGGGAGACTGTTCCCTATCACTTTGCTCTATCAGTCCCTTTATGGTCTCTGTATACAATACCTAGTTTGTTAGGTATTTATCTAATTATACTGTATTCAATTTCATTCCAGTAGCCTGAATAAATTACCATATTTTTTGGAGTATAAGATGTACTTTCCCCCCCTCCAAGAGGGTGGAAATGTTGGTTTGTCTTATACATCGAATACAGCCATTTTTGGCCTCCTGAAGCCGCACCCCACTCGTCCCATTTTTGCAAAAAATGGGCCCGTTTTTTGCAAAAAACAGGGTGCACAGAGGGTTTGGGAGGTCTGCAGAGTGCTCCTAGGGGCTGGGGGAGGGCAAAAGCGCCCGTTTTTGTGAAAAACGGGCCCATTTTTTGCAAAAATTGGGGCATTTTTGCCCTCCCAGCCCCCAGGGGCACTCTGCAAGCTCCCAAACCCTCTGTACCCTGTTTTTGCAAAAACGGGATTTTTTGCAAAAAACAAACCCGTTTTTTGCAAAAACGGGATGCACAGAGGGTTTGCGAGGCCTGCAGAGTGCTTCTGGGGGCCAGGGAGGGCAAAAATCTTTTTTTTCTTACTTACCTCTTTGAAATCTTGGTGGGTCTTATAGTCCGAAAAATACGGTACATGCAAACATGCAGTGTATTTTATTTATTAGTTTCCCGATATTCAGAATTACCTGTGTATAATTCACAACTATCTTTTATGGAATTATGGAATCCAAACTCACTTTTTTCTTGTTGTCCAATTGACTGCTATTAACTGCTGTTTCCCATCTCCCATTAGCGATCATGAAGTCCGTATTTTGCCTTCATCATGATTATAATAGTAAGTTAACCTCCCTCCCCCCATCTATTCCAGATAGCTGGAGGTAGAATAAACATTTTCTCATAACAATCCTTGTGAAGATCACAGACTTTATGTTGGTAATAGGAACAACAACAATCTTTGACAAGATGGACAAATAGGAAGGCTAAAATACTGCTTCTTAAATTGTGAGAATGTGAATAGTTTTGAGCTTGTTTATCCTGGCTGAATGCTTTATTTCTTATTTCATCCAATTCTACCATTCAGGCAGTTCCAAAAAGATTCTGAGGAGTTAATATAGCTCTCAGTCCCCAAACATAAGTCAATTATTTCTAAATAATTATTTCAAAATCTATCATCAATCCATAGCAGCTAAATAGCAAATGGATATTTGACACACTTATAGATATATTTCTTACATTTACTGAAAAGTACAATAGGCTGTTTAGTTTACATGAGTGTCTCATTGTCATATATTTCCTAAACAATTTATAGCTAAATAAGATTTAGACAATTTCATTACTACAAATTAGTCTTGCATGCTGTCATATCTTGTCTACATATGCAAGTCTATATATCTTGCATAATGGTTAATTTTTTTAACTAATGTGTCTTTATCTTCCATTTAATACTAACCAATGTACAATATAGAACCCGATGTTCCATTTCTTCTGCAATATTGTGTAGAGAACTCTTACAGCCAGCCATTATTCCCTCTCCTCCCCACATCCATGCAAGTCAATTTCCTTAACTATGCAGGAGGAAATGTTGATGAAAGTAGAAAAGTTTGGGAACTTGTCCTCCTCAAAGGATTTCCCCCCTTACAAAGTGTCCAGGGGACAGCAGAAGGTAGGGAAATCTGGCAAACCAGTGAGAAAACCTACCTGAATGTTTTTTTCACAGTCTGTTTGCTGGTGAAGGGAGAGCTCACTTTCTAGAACAAATTTCTTCCCACACTTGTCGCAGATCTGCATGCGCCTATGAGTGACGTTCATGTGCTTCTCCAGATACCAGCGTGTGTTAAACACCCTGGGGCACTTCTCACAAGTCAAAGTCTCCTTTTCTTCACACTTTGATTTCTGCACAGGTGCCTTGGGCTCCTTTGCAGCTTTCTTCTTACGCTTGGGAGGCTCAATGCTCTTTCTACGGCCCCTTGTAGTTCTGGAAGTAGGGGAAGATGTGGCGGCTGCAGTAGATGCAGCTCTCCTTGTCCTCCTTTGTGCAACACTATCATTTTCCTCTCTTTGCTCTTTTTTCTTCTGCCTCTCATTTTCCTCCTCATCATTACTGTCTTCAGTGGCCTCTTCCTCCCCACTGTCACCCTCCTCTTCCTCACTACTGGTCTTAAGAACAGTAGTTTCTTTGGATTGGGAAGGGACCCCCTTCTCCCCTTTTGATACATTTAATGTTTGGTTGTTAAGGTTTACCTCTACTATTATCTGCTCCCTTTTGTAAGTCACTTCATCTTCTTCCTCGTCCTCCTCCTGCAAGTCGTCAGAGTTCTCCCTGTCTTCTTTCACGGCTCGGGCCTCTCCTACTGTTCTGTCCTCCCTGAAATATGGCTGCTCCTCTCTGTCATGAAGATGTGGCTTACTTGCTTTTGGGTCCACCAGTACAGAATAAGGACTCCCAGATTCCCTTTTGTATACCTTGGTGGACAAATCAAGTTCCTGGCTGGCATCATGATAGAAAGTGGGTGGTACTTGACCCCTGTCCTCCTGTGCCATCCCTGCTACATGTGTGGTGCAATTTTTAGCCATCTGTTGGCAAGAGCTGGCTGTTTCATTCATGGGGGCTCTCGATTCATTGAGCACCTTGTATTCCAGAATATCAATGAAGTAACTCCTGTGGAACAAGATGAATATCTGGAAATAACTAACTCATGACTGTTTTTGGGGAGCAGAGCAAGAAAGCACGTGTAGGTCATGGAACTCTGGTTTTATAGCACGAAGACATCGACAACAGTTCACAGGAAGAAAGCTGTCATTCAACAGATGAAAAATTTGTCTAGAAAAAAAAGGAGAAAATTAAGTTAGTGGCTTAAGCATAGCTGGAATAAGTTATCCTTGGAAAAATCTGTTGTTTAATATACATGATGTAGAGGATTTGCTCCAACAGTTGTTAACCATTTATATTAATAACAGGCTAATTATTTTATTGTCCACAAGAGAAAAATGGGGAAATGCTTTTATTACATTGCCAACAAATATATACTATTATCTGAATTTTAGAGCAATAGAAGGCACTAAATATAGCTAAAAAGAAAAGGTTTTATATATTTAAGAGATGGTGCATAATAGTTTCTCTTACTATTTTCTTACTAGGTAACTCTTGCAGTTATGTAAGATTATTGATGCAATTAAATGTTCAGAGTTAAAAAACACTGAACTTTGCATATAAACATTTGTAATTTCAATTTTCAGAAAATTCTAGTTATGTAACTATAAAGATCATCTTGAAATAGCATAATTGTACCTAATGAAATAGGAATCTGTGAGATACTGTGTTGCCCATAAACCTAGTATCATCTGGGTATCAGCTTCATGTTTTTCTCATCATTTGCTACCTAATTTTTTTCACCAGAGGTATCAGGAACTGATCCAGGAATTTCTACCAGCAAAATATGCACTTCACCAATACATGACAATCTTTTCTTTTTCAGAAGTGAAACATGGATCAGTAGATTCTGGTGGTGAAATAGGGGTGGAGTTTTAAGGGCAAAGATGTACCTGTTTTCTCATTTTGATAAAGACACAGATGAATAAATTCATGTGCATAATACACATAATTTTATTTCTTCCTTCTTTTTGTTATTCTACAAAATTTTGGAAAAGCCACATTTTACCAAATTCCAAAAGGCCATGACAATAGAAGCAATCTTTATCTCAGGAGATAGGCTATTCCTGAGAAAAAGCATAATATATAATCCAACCATGCTGAGCTTCCTTAAAGGCATAAAGACCTGGGGCAAGGTAGCGTGATCTGCTCGGTATTTTTTATATTTTGTCGGGTACTGAACATAATTAGGGTCAGCTATCCATGCAGATCATATATTTTTCTATTAATTGTTTCATGTTTTTGCTGTTATTTCTATCTAATAATCCCCGCCCCTATTTTCATAGCCGGAAGACCAGAAAATGAGCAAGATAAAGCTTACAAAGTGAATATATAATTTAACCCTATTAGTTAAATTGGGTTTCCTAGATCCACTCTGTGATTGAAAGGTTATAAGTTGACAAATAAAAGTTATGTTCCAAATTTGAAAGGCTTGAGAAGGACATTTAAAACTGGCTCTGTTTCAATGGAACAAAATTCAAAATATTTCCAACTTCTGCCATACTGAATAATAGGAGCATAAAGCAAGTCTCTTGTTTTTTACCCTGAAATCACAGATATTGTACTGTAGTCCATTCAAGAATATTTCCTCCCATTCAATTGACAGAAAATTTGACTAAAAGATGACTTAAAAAGCTGTTATTACTTCTTAATTAATAACCAAAAGAAAAAAGGGCAAAACACAAGGTAATAGTGATAATGATACATAAATTGTCAAAAAGAAGCAAAAAATAAATAAATAAATAAAAAGTGCTCTAACAAAAAAGTGAAAAAAGTACAGCAGAGAAAAAAATGCAGGTAGAGATCCCACAATGTTTTGATTGAATTCAAAAATGCTAACTGCCCAAATTTTGAATGGGAAGCATACAGAATATATATTTGCGATAGAATTAGTGGTTATACATAATACAAAAATAAAATTGAAATTAAAAATAAAAATAAAAATAAAAGGGAAAATATTTGAAAAACGAATGGAAAAATTTATGGCTAGAAAACCATCTACAGTTTTATACAGACAAATATTGAAAAAGAAATATGTATTAACAACTATAATATCACAGCTGACAGAATTTATGCTTACATATCTATGACAGATATTGGGAGAATGGCAAAAGGTCTTGTAATTAGCTAATCATTTAAAGTAAAGAAAGCTAGGGGAATCATTCCAACAGGAAATCTATAAAACTACAATGGATATAAATTGTCAATTTTTTAAATTTTATTCAGAATTATATAGTAATATATATAATGTTATACTAAATAGATTCAGACTTTCTTAGGAATTCGTAAAATGGATTAAGGTATCATATTTCATTTCATTTCATTTTCATTTTATTAGATTTATATATCGCCCACAGTATTTACTTTAGATGTCACCCACATCTAAAGTAAAGCCTAATGTCACACTGTCTCTACTTTTCTAGTATTAAGAAGAAGTAAACAAGGATGTCTACTTTCTTCCATGTTTTTTAATATCCATGGAACTCTTGGTTTGTGGTGTTAGGCAACATAGAGAGATCTATGGAATAATAATTAACTTAATTAATTAACAATTAACACAAATTAATTTTATTTCCATATGGCATTCTTTTCTTTTTTTCTAAAGTTATACCACTATCCCAGTGTTTATGCAAAAGTAGCTGTCTTTAATAACACAGCAGGATACACTATTAACTGGTTCAAATCAGAATTGATGCCAATAGGTGAAAATTGAGTTACCTATCCATTTAAGGTATATCAATTCAGTATTTGTACCAAATACATTATATTCAAAGGATATAACCCAGTTACGAATATGTAATATAAATAAAATATGGATAGAGGTTTCTTCAGATATTGATAATTGAGAGCCATTAAACCTTACCCTTTGGGGAAAGGTGAACACTGCATCAATATAGGGATAATAGTAAGATCACGTGAAGTATTAGTACTGCTTTATGCTGCACTGGTAAGGCCATACTTCTAATACTGCATCCAGTTTTGGTCACCACAATACAAAAAAAGATGTTGAGATTCTAGGAAGAATGCAGAGAAGAGTAATAAAAATGATTAGGAGATTGGCTAAACTGTACAACGAACATTTGTGGGAACCAGGAATATCTAGTCTAACAAAGAGAAGGACTAGGAGCAACATGATAGCAGTCTCCCAATATCTGAGAGACTATTACCAAGAGGAAGGGATCAACCTATTCTCCAAAGCTCCTGAGGACAAGACGTAATGGATGGAAGATTAACGAAGACATCCAATCTAGAATTAAGGAGACATTTCCTTCCTGTGAGAACAATTAATCAGTGGAATATCTTGCCTCCAGAAGTTGTGGATGCTCCATCATTAGGGGGTTTTAAGAAGAAATTGGACAGCCATTTGTTTGGGATTGTATAGGACTTCCTGCTTGAGCAGGGGATTAGATTAGAAGACCTCCAAGATCCTTCCAACTCTTGTTATTTTGTATTCTGTAAAATGAACATTATTCCAATATTAATTTATATTTTGATAGGATTATATAATTTTCCTGGAAATTTTCAGAAAATAAACTATTTGTTTTTTTTAAAATTAGTTCTTTGATTCCTAGGACATTTTTACATAAAGTACAATTACCAATTAATGAGGATTTGGTTTTATAAATCTTTACAAAACTATACCATCATGCTTATCTTCCAGTATTAAATACTGGAAGCAAACATTTGGGTTTTTCTGATTAGGCAATTTTGGAATATACATACATAGTACCTTTAATTTGGTAGACAGGATTATGATCTAAATATGCTAAATGTTTAGTATCTCTGGAAACAATTATGTCAGTCAGGAAGTTATGGAATGGAATGTCTAATAAAAAAAAAGATTTGACCCTTTTCACACGCCAAACTGATTTTATGGAGAAACCCAAAAATTGGATAGAAGCAGGGATATTGATTTTAGATTCACTTATAGATGATGAACAATGAATTTTAACATATTGCATATTAAGAGATAAATATTTCTCAGATATAACTCAATGGCAACATTTACAATTACATTTTTAACAACATTATTTGGGTCAGAAGTATTTTCAGCTTTTGAGATGTCTAAGATACTGGAACAATTTTAAAACAAAAGCAAAAACATACAAAAATCCCTCTACTATTGTTTTAAATTTATTCATTATCATTAAATCAATTTCATATGTATTTGTTAAGAAATGAGTGGAATAAAGAATTTGAAATTACTATAATGCCTAGATAATTAAAACATTCTCTTAACTTCTAGAAAAAAAGTGTCAATGGATCCTTAATTATACAATTTATTCATAAAAAATTAAGACTCCAATAAATTCTTTAAATTAAAGGCTGTCAAAACAACTTTTTGTTAGAGATGTCCTTTTAAAAATGTCCATACAAGTCCTATATTTACCAAGTTTTGGGAGAAAGTAGTGGATTACCTAAATATGATTATGCAACAAAAGCTACACTTTCAGAATATAATATTCTTTTTATATACTTACCACATGGAATTTTATAATTGGATAACATAAATGGATTCTCCATGCTCTTAATATGACTAAAGATTGATATTGTAGCATTGGAAAGATAAATTATTGTGGAGAAAATAGGAGGAAGGAGTTTGTTTTGTTTGCTTAATTACAACTAATCATAAAAGTGATTCAAGCAAAAACATAATAGTAAAGGATTCAATCTAGCTCAATAATAACAAAACAGTGAAACAAACTTCTTGGTTAGTGGTCCAAAGTTTTGTCTTAATGCTGTTTGTCCAGTACATACATTTTGTATTTGACAACTTGCCCACAATGCTCAAGATAGGCTTTATTCAAAAATTTAGCAGCTACTGGCAAAAGGCTTCTTATTTTAAAACATGTTTTGAGTGTGCTGATATCTGAAGTTTATATATGTATTTTAAATCATAGAAGCTTAGAGTATATTAGCAATTCAACCAGCAGGCCCAATTTCCATCCCTCCTGCCATTGACAGGAAGGAGTTGAGGAGAAAGAAGTGTGTGATCAGATCAGGGAGCTAGTTATTTACTTTTTCAGACCTGAAATCATTTTTGAAATAAGAACAAATATTCTGTTTATCTGTTGCTAAACTTTTAGAATGCCAAACCTTACATTTATGTTGATTTGCTTACTTATTGACCTTTGCAGGAAAATAGGCTTTTAATCCACAGTAAAGGCCACCTGTGAAAGCACAAGAAAAGCAACAAGTCCTTCTGCTAATATCTTTTATAGCTCAGGAGTTTGGATGTACCTGCAGCTAATTTACAAACTTTAAAGTTGACTTATTACATTTATCAGAAAAAAAATACGATAAACATAGAGGAAATAGTGACTTAAGAGAAAGAAAAAGCGGAATTGTCATTTGAGTAAGTATTATGGGATAACTAATTATTTCAGTATCAGTTGCATTTCAAACATCTGATAGACAATTTTCAAATGTGGCTATAAAGCTGGATTTTCATTTGAACAGAAAGAGATTGGAAGTAAGGAAGAAAATTTTAAAACTCAGCTAGTATGATTGTGCAAGGAGAACCAACTTTTTTCTTTTTTTAATTTATTTTTGTTTTGTTTAAAATAGTAACAGAAATAAACACCCCCCCCATGAAGATCCATACCTTTCAAAATGCATAAGTAGTAAAAAAAAAATGAAATACACACAACATAGTATGTTATTAGAAGAGTAGAGTTACAATCTGATATATAATTATGTAATGAAAATATTGTGTGTGTAAGGGAGGGGGGAGACAATGAGAAAACTAGAGGTAGAGGTTCCTATATTAAAGTGATGGCTAATCTTTTTGGCACTGGGTGCCGAAAGCATGCGTGCGCACACACCCATAATGCAATGTGTGTGTGACACATGTGAGCGCGACCCCCGCACATGCACATGCAACCCCCCAGCATGCGCCCCCACACAACCCCCCCGCATATGCTCCACCCCCCATGCATACACGTGCGTCTCCCGCGTGCACCCCGCCCCCATGCATGCGCGGCAGAGACCCAAAAACCAGCTGGCCAATGGGAGGCACGCGCTCATGCATGCGTGGTGAGCTGGGGTGATGGCTTGTGTGCCCACAGAGAGGGCTCTGCGTGCCACCTGTGGCACGCGTGCTATAGGTTCACCATGGTAGAATGTCTCAACTTCTATAGCAATAGTGTCATCAAAAATAATTACATCTTACTGGACTCTATCATATCTGTATAGAAAAGCATTGTCAAAGACACCATTTTGTTGGTGAAGTAATAAGAACAAAGCTCCTTTGAAGTACATATAGTTTTGGTAGAAAATACTGGATTATATAAATGTGACTGGCAAAATCTAATTTTTTTAGAATATGTTCTTGAATTACATACTTAATACATGGAATGTAACAGATAGATATAAATGTATTTTCCAGGTCCTTACTATTGCAACAATAAATTGAGCATCGGGTTGGACTACAAGTCCTTCAAGGTCCCTTCCAGCTCTATTCTAATGATTGTATTAATGTATTGAAGATCTAATTACACTTGCTGCTTATGAGCGGATTGGCTACAAACTTAAGATTTTGAATGGATTCTTATGATGAAATATGGAACTCATTTTGACAAAATAAGAAGGTTAAGAATGATATTTATATAAATGTATTTGAAATAATTTTTATTCTCACTTTAATTCCAAATTTGGGGCTTGTAGATGCTCATGTTCTGCACATTTTAAATTATGGACAGACTCAATCTATTTTTCAATTAAACTATACCAAATATGAAAGGGCATTTACATGATGTACTGCAACAAAAAATATTTTTGTGTTTCCATCTTTTAAATAGAAATAGAAATGGTATCATTAAGGCCAGTCTATTTTTATTCAATCTCTTATTTTCTGCCTTGCAAGTAATTTGGCCACACAGAAGTTTATTAAGACAGCTAATTAAGAGTTAGTTTCAAGTATGTAGGAATTCCAAGTATGCACGGAACAACACTGCAAGAATTAAGACATATTCATAGTTTTCCTTTGATGATGGTGAAGAAACACAATGGATCTATATATAAATTGGTTTCAAGCCATACATCACAGATATACAAATTAAAAAATTACTGATATAGTACCTGGGAAAGATAAAAAAGGCAATAGTTAAAAATTATGTTTTCCAAAAGAAAAAAAAAGAACACATTCAAAGATTTTATATGTTTTCCTACACTAAGCAAATGCACATTGAAGAAAGCATGAAGAAATCATTATTCAAATGAGATCTAGTTTTGAATCATTGTTTGTAAATATTTCACCATAACATCTATAAAATGTACCATAAATAGTAAAAGTAATCATTTTATAAGACAATTATTTCCAATTACTACTTCTGTGCTTTTCATGCAAAGATGGGAGGGCAGGGGGAGCCTCTGAGTCAATTTTGGTTCCTGTCCACTCAGTTTACATGTGCAACTTTTCCCCCTCCAAGTGGTTTGCTATATGGCCTTCTTCTTAGTGCTGAAAGAAAGAGACTAACCCCAAGTCACCTAGCTCGCTTTGTGCCTAAGGCAATATTAGATATTAGTGTCTCCTGGTTTGTATGTCAGTACCTTTAGCTACTGCATCAAATTAATTCTCACGGCAGATTATGGAAAGGTAATTATTTTAAAACTTTATTATACAAAGACAAGGTGGTTATGTTCATTGTTAGTAGAACAAATCTTTCTTATTTACATTGTTACAACTTAAGCCAACCAAGTCTAGAAACATAGTTATATGCTTTATATATTAAATGTAAGAATATAATTGAATTCATGAGAACGTAAAGAATTAAAATCTTGGGGAAATTCACTTTCCTTTTTAGTTAATAAGTATGTTCTGAACATTTAGTTTCATAAAGATGTTTCTATGTGATAAATCTTAATAAACTTTTTAAATTTAAACACCAGCACACATATCAAAAAGTTCTAAGAACAATATTCCAATAGCAACTTATGTGGAATTGGAGTAAAGAAAAAGAGATAATCACTTTATCCAAACTGAATTAAAAGTTATCTTTCAAGTACATCCAAA